CGAGCGCAGCTCGTCGAGCGTGTCGTAGGGCAAGGGTGTGCCCACCACTTCGGACAGAGCGCGCAATATTTTCCAATCCTCGCGTGCCATGCCCGGCGGCGAAACGCCCGGATGTGTCTGCTGTGACCTGCCCTCCGTGTTGACATAGGTCGCCTGCTTCTCGGTGTACGCGGCGCCGGGCAGCACAGCGTCCGCAATGGACGCACCATTGTCGCCATGCGAACCAATATACACAACGAAACAATCCTTCGGCAGCTGCTCGCGCGTTATCTTGCCGGCATCGGCGTTCAGCAGGAACAGCACCTTGGGCTGTGACTGTAATGCGCGCTGCACGCCCGGCTGGTAGCCCACATCGAATGCGCCCACCTGGGCGGCGCTGTTGTGCAGCACATTGAAGGGATTCCAGTCCTGCAACAGAAATTGTAACATGTTTAACTAGTTCGACCCGTACATGGCCATCGACTACTCACAGGCTTCTTGAGCTTCTGACAGTACTCGGAGATGGTGGCATGAATGGCAGCGCCATCGGGTCGCTCCAGAACATCGACGCCAATGATGATGGCCGGCTTCTTGGCGCCCTCGAGCACCTTGGAGAAGGCATGCGAGCCGCTGCACACATCCTTGATTAGGCTGGCGTCCGAGCCCAAATTGTCGTGCTGATAGGACAGATCAATTTTGGGTCCAATCGAGGCAATCTGCAGCTCGTTGTGAACGTAGGCCTTGCGCAGGCGCGTATTGACCAGCGGCGCCTCGTAGCGCGGATTGGTGCCCACCAGCAGCACAGCATCAGCCTGTTCCAGACCTAAAAGCAGAACGCAAGTCGTAAATACATGTGACAGCAGAAAGGGGCAGCACGTACCTGCAATGGTGCTGTTGAGCAAATAGCTGGAGCGCACATCGATGGCGCTGCCCTTGATGAAGTCCTGTTCGGTGACCAGTTGGTTGCCGTCCAGCCGATTGACCAGATCCTTGAGCGCCACCATGGCCTCCACATCGGCCAGCTGGCCGGCAACGCCAGCTATCTGGCCATTGGCCTTCTTCAGCGCCTTGGCGACGCTGATGAGCGCGCCCTCCCATTCGACGGCCTGCAGCTCGCCGTTGGGCATGCGCACCATGGGCGCGACCAGGCGCTGGCGCTTCAGGCCATCGCAAGCGAAGCGCGACTTATCCGCCAGCCACTCCTCGTTGACGTCCTCGTTCTCGCGTGGCAGAATGCGCAGCACCTCGTTGGTGCGCGTGCTAACCACAATGTTGCTGCCGACGGCGTCGAGCACATCGATGCTGTCCACCTTGCGTATCTCCCAGGGACGTGCCACAAAGCTGTACGGTTTGTTGGTGAGCGCGCCAACGGGGCACAGATCGATCACATTGCCCGACAGCTCGGTAAGGAAGAGCTTCTCCACGTAGGTGCCAATTTGCATATCATTGCCGCGTCCCGTGGTGCCCAAATCATCGACGCCAGCAATTTCGGAGGCGAAGCGCACACAGCGTGTGCAGTGAATGCAGCGCGTCATCACTGTCTTGACCAGCGGCCCAATGTCCTTGTCCTCCACAGCACTAAAAGGCGAGCAGCGCAAGAGTAGAGCAACGATTATATTTGAAGTTGTGACAGAGCTTACCGCTTGCCCGTGTAGTTGATGTCCGTGAAGCGTGAACGATCGGAGCCAAAGGCCATGGCCTGATCCTGCAGATCACACTCGCCGCCCTGATCGCAAATGGGACAATCGAGCGGATGATTCATGAGCAGAAACTCCATGACGCCCTCGCGCGCCTTGCGGGTCAAATCGGAATTCGTCTTGATGCGCCAGCCCTTCATCACGGGCATGGCGCAGGCGGCAACAGGCTTGGGGCTCTTCTCCACCTCCACCAGGCACATGCGACAATTGCCAGCCACGGCCAAGCGTTCGTGGTAACAGAATCTCGGAATCTCGACGCCCACCTCGGCTGCAGCCTGTGCGTTTTGAGAAGGAACAAGAAGAGAGTGGAGCGTGTTCTTTTGTATATTACTTTTGAGGCGTGTGCTCGAGTGTGCTCACCTGGAGCACTGTGGTGCCCGGCAGAACCATAACGGGTATATCATCGACAAAGACTTCGATCTTCTCGGGCGCCTTGGCCGGCGTTTGGGCCATGATCGCGCTGGTGCGGACCGCTCGGCTGGCGATTTGGTGTGTGGGTGAGCCGAGGGCGCCCAGCGCCTTCACAAGCGGTGCACGTATCATATTTTCTGCAACAAATCAATACACAAACAACAAATTGGCAACAACATTCAATTTACGTGCAATTACATAAGTTGCTAGCAGGCCGAGCAGGCACTTTCTCGGCCATATATCGATTTGTGGCAGCCCCATGCAGCCAAGCGCTTACCAATTAAATAATAATATGTCATGTGCATGGGCGTAAACAAAACTTACCGATATGCTAGAAAATATTTAGCAGCGCTACAAATTAATTTTAATGCCGAGCAGACAACTTTTTTTTTATCGCTTTTGACAGTCGCAGTGTAACAGCGGACAGGGTTGCCAGCTGTCTGCAATCGGTTTGACAGCTGACTGAAAGCGCGGCGCATTCAAATATCTGGTATGCTGCTCACAGCCGACAAGAGCAGAGGCCCAGCAAATGTGTTCGGGTAAAAATTAGCTTATTTACAATTAGCGATATTATTCAAAAGTAATTCTAATAATTTATGATTTTATTCTGTTCTAATAGTAATAATACTCTAAAAATACTCAATGAAATTGCGTATCGAATTACGTATTTTATTTAATTGCTTGCAGCCCTTGTCGAACAGCTGTTCACAGTTTGTTTTGTTTACTTGTTTCGTGGCGTTTGCCATTCGCATGTCAACGGCGGCGCGTTAAAAACCCGTTTGATTTTCAATTTGAAATTTAAATTGTTATTTCAAATAAGGATTGCGCTGTGCTGCCAGCAAAGCATGCGTCAGCATTAAAAAAAAAAACAAAACAACAACAACAATGGACAATAGGCCATGCTACCTGGCCACACATCGCGGCACCATTCATTCAGCTGCGAAATGTAAGCGGCGTTTAACAATGTTGGCGCCACACACACACACACAGATGCACGCACACATGTGTGATGCGACGGCGGCGCCACAAGTGAGATTTCTTGATTAGAGATCTGAGAGTCACGCGAAAAAAAAAATCAACACACATACACACACACACAGATAGCAAGGATGATGCTTGGGAGGTAGCCGTGTGTATGTGTGCGCATGTGTGTGTGTGTGTGTGTGTGTGTGCTTGTGCCAACGCACGATTTGTGGCTAGTCTGGCGTCTGCTGCCTGGTAATCAGATAAAAATATATTATGACGTACCAGACCGACTTTTCATTGTTAATTGAGCGGCGTTGGCGGCGCAAGCATCACCGGCAAAAACCTTTCTGGCCAAGCCGGGGCCGAGAGACCGGCCCTGAATGATTTCAGATTGAGACGTGCTTGATATCTGTTGGCATCGGTAACGGCGACGGCGACGACGACGACGACGGCAGCGTCGGCGTTGGCGATGCTGCGCGACGCGTCTTTGGCTGGCGTCTGCTGGCTGTCGCGTCGCGTCGCGTCGCGCCTCTCCCGTGCATTGCTCTTATCTTGTATCTCAGCATTTCGTATGTTCCTCCTCACATTATCGCATTTGTATCTGGTGCTGCTGCCGCTGCCGTCGCTGCCGCTGCTTCCAGCAGCAGACGTGTCGCCACAATTTGCCGCCACCGCTTGGCGCCTAAAAATCAAACGGGGCGCCATTGTAACAAATTTTTAAAAATAACGTGCAACGACGTCAACGCTGACTGCGACGCCGACATCGACGCCAACGTCGCCGACGTAGACCAATATAATGTGATTTGTTCTGCTCGTGGCTATTTTTGCGCGCCACGGCGCATTGTTAATGATCTTCGGCAGCGCGGTTCGTCTGCAGTTTTTTTTTTTTCGCTTACAATGTGATAATTTTCAACAATTTACTCCCCTTTTTGCGCCGCTGGCGCTTTTGTGCATTTAACGGTGTCGTCCTTGACTGCGACGCGGCGCCGCCTCGTCGCTGTGCGGCTGTTTCTGGAACTGGAGCGAGATAAGGCAGCAATTTCTGCGCATCATAAAGAACAAAAAAAAAAAAAGAAAAGAAGACGGAACATGAGATATGCATGATATGATTATAATTATATTGCAAACAGTTGCCTTGCTGATAGCAACAACAACAACAACAACAACAACAACAACTGCAGACAGAGTCGCATGATGACAACGCTGATAATGGGCCACAGCGACAGGGTCACTGCCAGCAGCGACGGCGACGGCGACAGCAGCAGCAGCAGTCGCATTTCCTTTTTGGTGGGGTGTTCGCTGGGGGTCACATGCAGCTGGCGCGGCAATAAGACGCCGACGTTGACGCCGCTAACTCCATTCAGTGAGAGCGCGCGCGCATCAGCGGGAGCTGCGCTGCCGCAGCCAGAATCGCTCGTGTCGCGCTCGCACGTTCGTTCGTGCGTTCGTTCGTTCGTTCGTTCGTTCGTTTTGCTGGTTCGCTCGTTGCGCTCGTGCGGCCCGGCACTAGTTCGGCTCATTGGGCTCCGGCTGTGTCTGTGGCTTTGGGCTGGCTCCCCAATCTTTCCTTTCAATAAAACCAGTGCCCGCTTGCAATTTTCACTTAGTTTGAGTCCGAACGGCGACTGCGCCGGCGTGTCCGTGTGTGTGCGTGAGCGTGTGCGTGTGCGTGTGTGTGTGTGAGAGAGTGTGCGCGCGTGCGCGTGCAACTGTGTGCACAAGCTCGAATCGAATCGCATTGTATTGAAATTGAAATTGAAATTGGCATCGATAAGCGATCGGAAACAAAAAAAAAAAGAAAATAATAAGAAAAAAACGCGCGCAATCGCTTTAATTTTTAATGGATTTTTCGGAAATTGATTTCATTTCGTGCAATTTTCGTTCTCACAACAATTTTATTTATTTGTTTTTTTTATTTGTTTGTTTGTTTATCAGCGCGTGTGGCGCATGCGCAACAAACAACAACAACAACAATAACAAGAAGAAGAAGAAGAAGTGAGCGTAAGAACGGAAACAGAAACTAAATCAATATTGAAAAAACGCTTAGTCATCGCCGGCGCAAACATATTAACGCTCTTGGTGTTTTTTTTTTTTTTTGGAAGTTTTTTTTTTGTTTACTTTTTTGTGCCTGGAAGAATCCGGCGACGACCCAAATCGCTCGGCGTTGCCCGCAGCATTTACCTGACATCATCATCATCCCAGCATAATTATCAACATCATCATCATCGTCGAGCATTATCATCATAATTATAATCAGCAAGAACGTCGGCATTTGCGGTTGACATCTTTACGGGCTTCATTCAGAGCAAAAACAAACAACAACAACAATCTCAGCAGGGGTGAGTACTCGGAACGCCCTCCAAGCACAATCATAGATTCATTATTATAAATATTATATGCAATGTTTTCAACAAATTTCAATTTCTACTCAAAATGAGTTCACAAAAAAACAAACATTTCCGCCGATAAGTCGAACAAATCAATTCAATTTGAAATTAAAAAACCTCAAATTCATTGAAAAAAAGTTCACATTTTTCTCAAATTTGTAACAAAAAAAGTTCTGAAATGTTTTTTACTATTTATGAAGAACAGTTTTGTATTCAATAAAGATTACTCCAATTTTTTTGTGCTCTACGATTTACACAAATTATAACATTTAATTCATGGAAATTCATTTTTACTCAAATTAAATATTTATCATTTTAATTTCAAGAACAAGAATTGAAAGAAAAGCAAATATTAGTTGTATAAAAAATAGAATATTAGAAGCATCAAATAAATAATAATATTCATTTTTTTAGTTCATGTTTCCCTCTAAATGTTAATTTTAATTTGCCTGAAAATGTTTTTGTTGATAAAACTTTTTTCGAATTAAAATTCAAGAATTCTTACACATATTCTTGGGAAGAAATCTTAGGAGGGATTATTTAGCAAAAAGTTTAAGTTTTTAACAAAAGCTGCTGCGAGCGCATCTATTAAAAATATAATGTAATTTTGAGAGTATTCAATTAGGCAAAAACAAGAAAGAAGCGCTATCTTTGACAGGCCGAAGATACTTTACGGCTTGAAAGATATGTGAGGAGGATCGTAAAGCACGTCAAAGCTGAGTCTGGTGTCAAGATAACTCAAAGAACCATGTTTCCTTTGGTACTCTGATAATATAGAAGTCCGATTCGGCTGGATTCATCTTATATTTAGACGGATTTGGCTATACCGACCCGACTCTGGATACTGTATGCGCGTGCATAGATATATAAAAGGAAATACATATATTTTTATCTTCTGTTTTTTCATTTCTTATATCAAAAAATCAATTGAGCGAAACACAGGAAATATAGTGAAAAGAAGCTTTATGCAAATTGGACTTAAAACAAGCTCAAAATAGCTTGAAGCAAGCAGAAAAGTCTTTAAACAACCATTTTGTAGCCCTCATGAGTTTGTCGTGAAAAAACTGGAGACATCTTCAACTCTATGAGGTATTCATTATAGGATGCCTTAAGACTTTTATGTTTTGCTTCAAGCTATTTAGAGATTATTTTAAGTCAAATTTAAATTTTATTTTCCACTTAATTTCATTGGTTCCTCCGCAAAGGATTCTTTGAGTTTGAAATGAAAAGCACAAATGCAGAGAACATTTAAAAAACCAACAAAGAATTGACTTTTGCTAATTTTTCACATTTGTCCAAGGAGCTGTCCATTCTGTGGAGCTTTCACTGTAGAACATTGTGCCGTGCGATCAAATAATTTCCAGAGAGTTACGATTGCGTCCATGCATCCATAATTTTGACGTCTTTTGATATAGCTGCTCGCCAGTTGGGTTTTTTCTTTTTTTTTTTTTTTTTTTTTTTTGTGTATTTTTACTTTGTTTCTTAATTTATTTTGTGGAGGAATAGTGTGAAAAAAAAACGAAACGTTTTTTTTCGATTTCTTTCTGTTTTCTTTCTGTTTCTATTAACGTGCTGCGGCTGCTGTTTGCAGTTGTTTCGCATTGTTTTTTATTTTATTTGATTGCTGTTGTTGTTGGTTTCGGGCAAAACGGTAGCCATATATTAAGCTAATTTCCTGTGTGATCTCAGCACCGCACAGAGCACACACTCGCATACAGATACATATACAGATACACAGATACAGATACAGATACAGATACACAGATACACAGATACACAGATACAGATACAGATACAGATACACAGATACAGATACAGATACACAGATACACAGATACACAGATACACAGATACACAGATACACAGATACACAGATACACAGATACACAGATACACAGATACACAGATACACAGATACACAGATACACAGATACACAGATACACAGATACACAGATACACAGATACACAGATACACAGATTCACAGATACACAGATACACAGATACACAGATACACAGATACACAGATACACAGATACACAGATACACAGATACACAGATACAGATACAGATACAGATACAGATACAGATACAGATACACAGATACACAGATACTGACAGATACACAGATGCAGATACAGATACACAGATGCAGATATACACAGATATATGTGTATCTGCATCTGTATCTGTGTATCTGTCAGATACACATACCGTATCTGTATCTGTATTTGTATCTGTGTATCTGTATCTGAACCTGTATCTATATCTGTATCTGCATCTGTTAGATACATAGATACACAGATACAGATACGGTATGTGTATCTGTCGGATACACGGCGAGCCAGGCGAGCCAAATAAATGCCACAGGCAGCACCCAAAAATGGTCAAAATAAGCGCCGCGCATGTTTTTTTCTTTTTTTTTTGGCCAGCAACAACATTGTATGAGACAGCACAGATAAAAGCAAATTAAATGATTTGTTATAACTTTTTTTTTTCTTTTTGTGGGCTGCAGTGCGTCCCACAACACACGCACACACAGCCCCCCTTCCACAGCCGCTTCCCCTTTCCCTTCCCCTCTCCATCTCCAACTCCAAACACTCGGCGAGCGCTGACGATCCGTGGCCATCCCGAGCAACGCCTGTGCAAAATTTATGGCCTGCATTTGTTGTACAACAACAACAGGCTGAAGAGAGATAGAAACTTAGCAAACAGTAAATCCCACTGCTCGACTAACACATACCCTACAAACAGCGCCAAGCTGATAGCGTATACCTTCCCACGCACAGACAGGCTAAGTTAGCGCAGCGGTTGTGCTTCCTCTTCGCTTGCCTCCACACTTTGGTCCCACTATTTACTCTGGCTTAACTTCGGAGCTTGTGATCCGATCTTTATGGGATTTTCACGTTTGGCACACAAATATCAGGCTATATCCCAAACGAGCAAGGCTTTAGTTTTCATGCTTTAAAATCGATAATTATCGAAGAATATGATATCGATACCTGCATATATTAAGCGAGTTATATTTATGTCAAGTAATTAGCATTTTAGTTTTTCAATGATTCTGAAAAGCTATCTCAAAATCGATAATTATCGATGTCGTAACCATACAGTGAATAATCGAGTCATATATACCAAAAAACCATCTCTATCGATATTTATCGATAACATAAAAGTGGAAGGCAGAGAGTAAATATTTCGTATTACTAATCTGAGACTAAGCTGATCAGATATATAAGTATATTTATATATATAGAATGCATGTGATCGTAAATGTCTTCTTGTACACATTTGCACAAGCACATTATACCCCGTTTTATTTGAAACAATTTTCAATGGGTCGAGGGTATAAAAAATCAAACGACGTCGCCATAAAAAATACATTTTCGGCCCACATGCGATGGAACCGACGCGGAGACGCCCGCCACTAAAGAAATTAAAATATGCCTCGAGACGGTAACAGCAGCAGCAACAACAACAACAAGATTAGATCCACATATGCGCCTTTGGTTGGAGTTACGTGCGATCTGGACAGAGCGGAGGCTCCGGCCCCGGCCCCGGCCACGGCCCCGGCCCGCGCGCCTCTCCTGTGCGCACGTCCGTCGCAGCGCGTTTTACTACGTTAAAAGCTTCATTTCATTCATAAAAATAAAAGCTGAGTGCGTGTGTGTGTGTGTCTCGCATTGGGTGTGCGTGTGTGTGTGTGTCTCAATGAAACTACAACGCATGAATGAAAAATAAAAGAAGAGAGATATACATATACAGATATGAATGAAGCCACACAGCAATATGCGAGTCTCTCTCGCTCTCGTACTCTCTCATGCAGCCCAGCTCTCCCTCTCTCTCTCTCTCTCTCTCTCTCTCTCTCTCTCTCGGTTGCCTGGTAGGCGTACAAATTGCTTTGGTCTCGTCTCTGCCTCGCATCCAAGTGAAATCTTTCCATAAACTCCACAACTCGCCCCTTTGCCGCAATCTTTGCCATTTTCTGAACGATTTTGCCATATGCCTGGGCGGTTGGGCAGATGTTGCCCAAAGAAGTTACAACGGCGAGGTTCTCAAACGTTCTTGGGGCATATAGTGTTTGTTCCAGGGGCGATCCAAAAGAGAAGTTTTTAAAGCTGATCTAAGCTTACTTGATGGAAACCCAAATATATAGAGCCTGGGTAATAAATATCAGAAATATGCCCTAATATTAATGCCAATATTAATACAAATAATAGTAATTATACTAACAATAACAATACTAAAAGCAATAATATTAATAATAATAATTGCAATAATAATAACAATACTAATGCTAATACCAAAAGTTAAACTAATACTAATAATAGTTTTTATCGTAATAGTTTCTTAGATTCGCATGCGTCAAGAATTTGCCTAAATAACATCTAATTAATTTATAATATAGTTTTGCTTAAATTTGAATTATAAATTGGCTTAAAGTTAACAATAGCTATAAAACTAACAATAAAAATCATAAATTAGAGATAATTAAAACCAGAAATTAGAACCGGCATTTTCAATGTTTTGAAACTAAAATTGGTATTTCTCACAAATAAAATAAATTTGTATATTTATTTGTTTTTAATACCGTGAACCTATTGAAAATGATTAGGAATATTTGTGTGACAATTTATGAGGCTGGTAGCATATATATTCCTGATCAGAACCGGGACGGAACAAAGAGGTAGGGCATTCTCTCGTCGGGCACTTCCGTCTAAAGTACTCTTCTTTGTATTTTTTTTTTTCTGGGATTTTTCTGTTGGTATTTAGTGTGCGAGTCTTTTGGTCGCATTTATTTGCATACAAAGCTCAGCTTGTCGCCTATGCCCCAAATGATGATCATTAATGATGATCATTAGCGCTAGATGATGATGTGATCGGGCAGCCAGGCCAAATGTAAAGCGACAACAAAACGTGGCTAATAAATTAAGCAAAGCGTCAACAAAGCTG